ATGAATGCTGGAAATATGCCCCACGCACTTGGCACCACTTGGTGGTGCCACTACAGCCCCTTTCGGAAAGTGGCAAATGATAGCCCTAGGGCCCCTCTACCTTGCCCCAATAATTATTTGATGAACACTTCAAAGATTAGGCGTATAATAGCTGATCTTTAATGGCGTTTTTGGGATAAAATGCAAAACAGTCAAAGTTCATAGTAGATAACTGGCCCATTCCAGTCCCTGGGACCTTTTGAAACGTTGACAAGGGATTCTCCCTAAGACCCTTAACTTAATGACCAATAATTGATGACGAATGATTGCTTGAAATATGACCCATGCACTTGGCACCACCTGGTGGTACCACTAAAGCCCCTTCTGATAGCAGGAAATAATAATCCTTGGCCCCTTCTATCTTGCCCTAGTAATGTTGATCACTTTATAAATCATGGGTATAATACCTGCCTGTAATATCAAAAAAAATTTGGAACCACTTAAGTGGCACCACCACCACTTATTACTGATAGTGGTAATTTACAGTCTTATAGATTCATTAAGTTGTCCCAGTAATAATGTTCGAAACATACTTCAACCTAGTTTACACTTGTGCCATATTTCGGTTTACAATCGTTATATATTAATCAAATTTCAGGTTAGCTTATTGGCCCTGTCATAATCTTGAGGTCCATGAAGGAGTTGAAAAGGGATTCTTCCTGAAGGAGTTAACCATTTCCTAGTGCTTGTTTGTTCAATTGGATAAAAATTATAAAGTAATGTATTTCTTATTTTTCGGTTTTAAAAAAGAAAAAAAAAATTGTTCAGGTGAGCCTTACTGCCTCTGAGTATCTGATTTATTATGTAATTAATTGTTGCATTAATTTTCTAATCATTAACCATTAATTATCTAAAATAACGTATTAAAAACAGTACTGCGTCTGAGTACTCTCAGTTCTTTGATGAATTTCCTTATTGGCTGCTAGCTTCTACGCGCTTAGTGGCTGCTGTTATTGGCTGCTAGCTTACTATAGCAATGGTACTTTTATGTTCAAAATGCAGAAATATTTAAAGTTATACAAATTTCCTGCAAAGAAAGTCTAAACTCCGGTTCCCATGGAAATTTTCCTGGACTTGACAATGCACCTGCAGATAAGCTTTAAGAAATAATATGTTGAAGAAAAGAAAGTAAACAAAACTTTTCCATCAGCAATATTCGCTAGATTTCAGCCACTGTGAGATCCTTTTATTCCCAAAATATACGAAATCAACCAAAGGAAGATTGCACAATATCAGATAAATTACATTCATGAATGTCTTTGGAGCAGCCTTAAAGGAAAGATGTATGCTGAGGTTTTCTGTTCATGGACATAACATGTGTAAAGGGTAACAGGGAATGCCCTGAGGGGTGAAACTAGTAAGAATATATATATTTCGTACTTTTCTTATTTTTAGATGGCATTTTGCATTATTAATTGAACGACCCTCGTAAACGCCTTAATTGGTTGTCGACTTTTCCAAATAATTTAAGTCACATTATTACAGGATTCGAAATAAAGCAAATCGATGCAAGTGAAAAAATTCTTTGATGTTGTTTCGTCATGAACAAATAAGTAGAAAAATCACAGACTAAAGCGCTGATGGAACAGAACGTGTTAAGCTGAGAGCTGTTTTATGGTTGTGATGCACAACAATTTAACAAAATGCTTTTTGACATCAAACGGAGGATCGTTTTATTTAAAAACGTACATCGAAGCTGCATTCATGGGAATTTCCATACGGAGACATTCTGTTATTGTTTGTGCGTTTTACAGAATGTAGCAGCTACTGATTAAAGCGAAAATAATTTCCTTAACATTCTTCTAATAAATTGTTTGAAGTAAAAATGAGAAATATTCCATAATGAATTAATGCCATCTCGTGTTTACCGGTAGAAGGAATTGAATTATCGAACGGACGCAGAATCGACAAATGGACTCTGAATTGACTCTGGGCGCGTTGAGACATTATAACGGGACGCGGATTCGTTAAAGAAGTGATTGCAAGATGTTCTAAATCCATCAAAGACAACAGGCTGATTACTGAAGCTTAAGTCATGCTTGGATTACTTTGGATAACATTTTTATTTGAAATCGCTGGTATGTATATTTAATTTATTGGGAAAAAAATAATGAAAAGAAAATGATCAAACCATTTGAAAAAAATTCTCTGCTGACTTTCAAAAATTCTTTGATCTAAAGATAAATTTTGATTTTATTTGGGGGGGGTCTTAAAATATATTTTTGTTTTTCTAATTTTATCAAGAAGAATCGGTGTTTTGAAAATATTGTAAACTATTTAATTAAAGATCCCACTGACTGCTTTTTAAAATAAATTGAAAATATCATCCTTGACTATATCAGTATAATAATCAGGTCGTATTCGTCAAGTTCTTTTAATTAATTGTTCATAAAAACTGTGGAGGATATAACTGCGAAGGTAATCCATGTATTATTGTGATAAAACTGATACAGGAATTGGGATTGCATCACATGACATTGAAACATGGGGATACATTTCCTCATCCCAATGCGAAGCGCTCCTGGTGATAACTTGCCTTGCTGTTCGCGTCCAGTGTTACCGATCATTATGAAATAAGGAGAATCCATTCAAACCACAGGCACTTGTTTCGGAAATATAAAAAAAAACATAGTATAATAATTGTATCATGGGTTAAAAATTTATTTCCGAAACAAGTGTCTGAGATTCAAATACCCGAAGTGTATTAACTTTTCTGAAGAAAAACTGAAATAGGAATGTTTACTAGTATTTATACATCAAGTCGCCGTTACTTCTTATTCCTGGATTACCAACGGTATATAGTTTTAATTCAAAGAGGCTAAATAAAAATTTCTGTCAAAAATTTGATAATGCATAGCGACTTTCATCGTCATGGATTCCACTACATAAAGATGAAAATTCTTGTAATGAGTCTATGATAATGTAAAAGTGTAAAATACATACACAGTTTTATAAACGTAAAACTTTCCTTGCCCCATATTTACTCCAGCATGCTAGAGGTTCACGGCGAGATACCGGGTATACCTTGACTTGGAGCCGCTGGTATAAAGGAGCATAGGGACGTTAACATAGGCTCTTAGGACAATTCCCAGTTAAGCTTAGAAATACACATAGGAAAGAAATTCGGCCGAATGTCAAATAGTGTAGCAAATAGCCAATTAAAAGTTCTCGCACGGCACAGAGGCGGGGCTTACGTCGTCTCATCGTCGTCGACAACAATTTAAATTTCATGACGTTATTTTAATTTCTTAACCAATGAGAATCTATTCGCCATTTGACACGCTAATTACGTTGCACCGAGAATGCCACGCCTTATACTGAAAGTCCAAGCTTACCTGAGAACTTTAATACTCGTAGGAGTACCCCATTTTCAGAACATATAATAGCTCCAAACTGTGTCTTCACGTTCTATAGTGCATACACGATATGCTACTATGCTAAACGATTGAAGTCGGGAGCTTCTTTGATCCAAATAAGAATTTTCAAGAAATTTCTCAAAAATTACAGAACCACTTTCAAGTGAGATGTATATACATCACCCCCCCCCCCAAAGTATATACCATCTCTTCAAACAGACGCAAAATAGCTATTTTCAAACTAATCTGGAGGACTGGATTTCTTGTTATATATGTCCGGGGGTGTATTACATTAGCTTGAAAGCAGCACAAATATACTCCGTAATTTCTAATACATATATGGCTACGTATATTTCTTTTTTTTCTAAAGAATTTAGAGAAAAAACATACATCAATGAATTTATTTTGTAGAATGCATTTTCATTACAACACCGGGAAACTCGAGCAGAATCAAATTGAGTCATTATGGAATAACAGCAGAGAATCGATTTTCTTTGATATTTAGAGTAAAAGCATGTGGATCCGCCCATGTATTTTTATTGGATTCAGAAACCCTTCCCACTCTAACTAGAGAATTCATCTTTGGATATAAAAACAACACAAAATGCGAGTTTGGAGACGATATCTACACTAAATTTTCCTATGCATGTTCGAATACTTGTGATTCATTTGATGATTATTGGATTTCATGGTACTATGTCACTCTTAATGTTGCCCAGGAATGGAAAATGGGGCGCGGCACTGACTTATCAGATGGACTTATCGGAAGTTTTCCCTGGTCAATAACGTTTTATCCCAAGTATATTGAAATATCATCAACCGATCTTCCTGCCGAGTGGGAATTTGGTAAACAATTTATACAGTTTTAATTACATTTAAGTAATTTGAAAACAAAAAAAATCATTTTAAGTGTTATATAATGAAATGTAGAGAAAAAAATTAATAAGCAAAGTTGAGATGTTATGAAAGCTACAGTTATAATATGTATGGCACGCCAAATTCACAAAATTGAGCTAAACATAGTTTCACAGTTGATAAACTAGGTTTATCGACTGTAAACTATAGTTTACAAACCGTGAACTACAGTTAACAATTCGTTAACTATAGTTTTCATCTGTAAAACTATGTTTAACTGTTGTTAACTATAGTTTACGAATGCTAATCTAAGTTTATCTGTCTGTAATAAAACGTTAACAATAGATCATAGATTCACGTCTGTAAACTATGATTTACAATCGTGAACAGTTTCTATAGTTAAGAGTTGTTAATCATAGTTTCGCTAATCGTGAAACTATATTTATCAGATCGTTAACTATAGTTAAGAGTTGTAAACCATAGTTTACAAATCGTGAAACTGTATTTATCAGATAATCTTTGTTTTGCAATGGCAAATGATTGTTTTCAGTGTTAAGTATAGTTTACGGTTCTAAAACATAGATTATCGCGTTAACTATGGTTTACAGATGTAAAATATAGATTAACGTTGTTAACTATAGTTTACAGTCTGTAAACTATAGTTTACAACCGATAAACTTAGTTTATCGACTGTGAAACTATGTTTAGCTCATTTTTGTGAATTTGGCGTGCCATAAATATGGTATATGTATGTTTTCTCTTCATGACACAGAAATCTCATCGAACACAACGCCATTAGATTCTGAGACAACACAAATACCAACAACAGCAGAAAAATTAAAAGATCCCACGACAATTGAACCAACAACATCAACCTTACTGACGGAGATTATCACAGAAACAACAAGGCCATCATCAACAATTCTAACGATGACGTCATCGACTACGTCAACTCAGACTGGACAGCCATCTTCGAGCGAGACAACGACAGAGTCGTTCTGTTACTGTCCCTCTGATAAGACGTGTAGCTACAGAAACTATACAGACGAGGAGATAAGTCAGATGATAGAGACGATGATCCAGGAGTTAAAAGTCAGCGTGAAGGACACAAACGCCTATAGAAGACGACTGATTTCCGCGCCTGATGACCGACCGTCTGCTCAGCGCGTGGGCGGAGTGGGCGCTGTGGTCATCTGCCTCGTCATCCTTGGGATAGTGCTTATGGACGCACCCCGTGTCGTCAATTTCTTTAAATATCACGATAGAAAAACTGAGTACTTGAAAAAGACTTCCAAAAGAAAAAAGTCTAAAAAAAAATAATAACTAATTCTTTATTATGAGGAGGTAAACGATTGCATTTGGCGTTTTTCAAAACGATAATCAGGCTTTTCACATTTTTTACGATTATCTAATATCTCCGTCCAGAGTACAGCGTATGTGTGCACAGTAATTAATTATATGAATTTTTTGTAGTAAACGATCTTTTAATAATCTATTTTTTTAAGAAAGGCGCCAAACATTTTGCAAGAGTTAATGTTCAAATATAACCGTAACTTTTGACTTTTGTTTTTGCCTATCTCTAACTTTTGTATCTGTATTTCTTTTTGTTATCATCATGCAGTCACTCAAAGAACAATATGTTTTTGGAAGGATGCATTTTATTCAAACAGTTCATTTGAACATCTAATAACACGTATAAGCCCCCAAGGCAGATAGTTTAAAACTTTTAAGTAAAATCTATGACAACCTATTTCCCAGATTCATTGATGTATTATTGAGCTTTTATCTGATCGGACGCTTGAGTTCGCAAATAACCATCCAGATTAATAATGAACAAGAAAATTCAAAGATGCGATCCCCTCGCTTTCGGTGTCAGAGTGGATGGGATGCCATTATTTATAACATATTTTTTTTTATTTATATATACAAAATTTTATTCACAAATAAAATGTGAATGGGATTGGGCAGCAGGCAAAGCCTATTTTTGCCCTCTCCCTATTTTATAACATGTGTCACATACGAAAGTTCTATCATATGTCATTCAAAAGTAATCACCAAAGTTAAAATTTTTGAAAATTAGGTCAAACATGAAGGTCAAGGGGTCAAATTCATATCATGCACGGAAACATTTTGTTACGGGTAATGTACATGTTGAAAAAAAATGTGAAAGCTCCGTTTTTTCTCAATCAAAATTTATAAGGAAAAGTAACATTTTTGAACAAGATGTGTTTGTGAAACACTATGCGCCCGGTAGCAACAAAGTTCGGAAAAGGTTTTTTTAGCGTTAAGATCACAGTCAAGGTCACAAGGTCATGCCAAAGTTAAAATTTTTGAAAATTAGGTCAAACATGAAGGTCAAGGGGTCAAATTCATATCATGCACGGAAACATTTTGTTACGGGTAATGTACATGTTGAAAAAAAATGTGAAAGCTCCGTTTTTTCTCAATCAAAATTTATAAGGAAAAGTAACATTTTTGAACAAGATGTGTTTGTGAAACACTATGCGCCCGGTAGCAACAAAGTTCGGAAAAGGTTTTTTTAGCGTTAAGATCACAGTCAAGGTCACAAGGTCATTGACCTTGGTGTCATTTGAAAGAGATTGATTAGTGGAGTATGCGTACCAAATATGAAATCTCAATCTATCACTGGTTCAAAAGTTATAGTGAGGGTTCAAAAAGCTATTTTTAGCATATAGGTCACAGTGAAGGTCGCAAGGTCATTTGACCTTGGTGTCATTTGAAAGAACCTGATTAGTGGAGTATGCGTACCAAATATGAAGTCTCTATCTTTCATGGTTCAAAAGTTATGGCAAAGGTTAAAGTTTGCAGAAAAAAGCTATTTTTAGCATATAGGCCACAGTTAAGGTCACAAGTTCATTGACCTTGGTGTCTTTTGAAAGAACCTTAATTAGTGGAGTATGCATACCAAATATGAAGTTTCTATCTTTCATGGTTCAAAAGTTATGGTGAAGGTTCGAGTTCGAGACAAACAAACAAACACACAGACAGACAGACAGGACAAAAACAATATACGCCCTGGATCTATCGATCCGGGCGCATAAAAATAGGACTATAATCAAACTTCAAGGTCACAAGGTAAAAAATCATAGTATATTTAGATATGCCTTGTCACGGGTAATATACCCATGTAATATCACAGGGACTTGAGACAGTCTTAGCAAAATCGGGTATATAGTATAATAGGGAGCCTATTACAGTATATAATATACCCGATTTTGCTAAGACTGTCTCAAGTCTCTGTGTGATAATATGAAAGCTATTATCCTTTCTATTTCAAAAGTTACGACAACAGACCAATTTAAAGTAATGTTAAAATTTTAGACAAGTAGATTTAACGTAAGACCAAGGTCACGGGGTCAAAAATCATAGTATATTTGGAGAGGTCACAGGTAATGTACATGTGAAATATGAAAGCCCTATCCCGCGAATACGAGTGTGTTACAGAAAGACGGAAGGGCAGACAGACCAAAAATTAGAAAATGGGAGGGGGGGGGGGGGGGCAAAAAAGCTAAGACGTCGCACACGATGTGTCAATTTCGGTAATGAAAAAAAATACATAAGAATACACAATGTTAGAAAATCAATAAATGTACTTTGACTTACATTTTTGATGAAAGAAAAAAACATGTCTGGTTTTGCAAATATACACGTAGGATACGGATCATTAAAAGTAATTTGCTGCCGTTTCACATGCATATCATGGGAAGGAAATATGTGCATAATTAATAACAAGTTATCATTATACGAGAGCATATTTTAAATGCGCTGTATTATTTGAATTTTATTTCTCATACTTTTTACTTCAGTTAACTACTAGTATCAACAATAAGAACAGAAGCAATGTCATGTACCCTCATAGAATGTTCGCAAAAATGTTATTACTAATAAGCAGAAAAAAACGTAAACCCTGATCCGGGGGCTTTGCATTTCATAATTTTCAATAATTAGACACCCTTGCTCATCATAACCATGCACTTTTAATAGTTATAATTTGCTTATAAACCCTTGAGAAATCATGACTCGGGGGCAATTTAAGACGAGACACCCTAACTCATCATAACCATGTAATTTATATCTACAGAGTCAGATAAGTAATCCTTTCTATTTCAAAAGTTATGACAACAGTCCAATTTAAAGTAATGTTAAAATTTTAGACAAGTAGATTTAACTTTAAGACCAAGGTCACGGGGTCAAAAATCATAGTATATTTGGAAAGGTCCCAGGTAATGTACATGTGAAATATGAAAGCCCTATCCCGCGAATACGAGAGTGTTACAGAAAGACGGAAGTGCAGACAGACCAAAAATATGAAAACGGGGGGCAAAAAAGCTAAGACGTCGCACACGATGTGTCAATTTCGGTTACCGTAATGAAAAAAATACATAAGAATACACAATATTAGAAAATTAATAAACGTACTTTGACTTACATTTTTGATGGAAGAAAAAAAAATTTCTGGTTTTGCAAATACATGTATACACGTAGGATACGGATCATTAAAAGTAATTTGCTGCCGTTTCACATGCATATCATGGGAAGGAAATATGTGCATAATTAATAACAAGTTATCATTATACGAGAGCATAATTTAAATGCGTTGTATTATTTGAATTTTATTTCTCATACTTTTTACTTCAGTTAACTATCAACAATAAGAACAGAAGCAATGTCATGTACCCTCATAGAATGTTCACAAAAATGTTACCATGCGCGGATCTAGAGGGGGGGTCGGGGGGGGGGGGGGGTCAGGACCCCCCTTGAATTTACCAGGTTAAAAAATGTATATACTAAAACAAGAAAAAAGTTACCATGCCCCCCCATGGAAAACGCTAACCCCCCCCCACCCCCGGCAAACGCGAATATGTGTGAGATGGGTATGAAAAGTGAAAGATTTGAAGTTTTTGACGTTTGGGCGAGTTAAGGTTTTTTTTTTCCCTTGTCAAGAAATTTCTGAAATTGGATTTTTTTTTGACTGGGGTGGACCCCACCTGGAAAAAATTTCTGGATCCGCGCCTGAATGTTATTACTATAAGCAGAAAAAACCGTAAACCCTGATCCGGGGGCTTTGCATTTCATAATTTTCAATAATTAGACACCCTTGCTCATCATAACCATGCACTTTTAATAGTTATAATTTGCTTATAAACCCTTGAGAAATCATGACTCGGGGGCAATTTAAGACGAGACACCCTAACTCATCATAACCATGTAATTTATATCTAGAGTCAGATAAGTAATGGCAACATTTCAGTCTTTTTCCAAAACAGACTGTATTGTGCGCATCAAACGTGCAAAATTATTTTTTGAATTTTGTATAAAATATTAATCAGAAATGACAACAACTTGATTTTGTATTTAGTATGATGATCAATTCGGACCATATACACCATATATATCCCAACAGGCGGGGTGTATACTATGTTGTGCGCGGGGTGTATGCTTCCGAAGCGCGAGAAAGGGGGTCAATGTACGTTCTTTGTCCATTTTCTCATCTTACGGATATTTTCCGCCAGTTAGCATATGCCTACGGAAGAAAGCATTATCTTAGGAGTATATGGATAAAGGAGTATATGGATACCTATGAATCCACTGGACACCTTCTTGTATTATCAAACACCACAACACAATTCCGAGGATCGGAGCAAGATTGACGCTACACTGTGTTTATGATCAAATATCAGAACAAAGCTTTGCTTTATCGTCACTTTTATATTATTGTTAAATATATGTTTATTAAATAAACGTTTGTACAAATTTTCTGTAAATAAAACAGTTCGTATATGAAGATATTGACGAATAATCAATGTTGTGTCCGGGGTGTATGCAACATGTTGTACGTGGGGTGTATACCCCATATTTTTCTTAGGATTGTGTAGTGCTAAGTATCAATGGCAATATTATTCACACAGGTTTAAAAGCGACAGGTAGTATTGATAAAAGACCTTAATACTAATTCCGAACCAAAAAGTAATTTACATAAACTTACTGAAATAAAATAACAAATCATCTGAATTTAAAAAAAAGACAGATTAAAAACAAACTATCATATTCAAACATAAAAGGCGCTAGATGTGCAAGGAACGATTGTTATCTGACTAAATGCTACATTGTAGATGGCGCAATGGTCTAAATCTACGTAATCATAAAATCCCTCCAAAGGGTCCCTCGCCCACCCCCTCCCCAATCCCTGCATTGAGGACACTTTGCCCTTTCTTTGGCTCGTTTTAATCTTAATATTTCGCCTGTTAAAAATGATAGAAACACCACATAAATGGTGTAATATGAATAAATCGGTTTTT